AGCAACTCTAGGTTTGAATTTGTTCTTCAGTTCCTTGAGCTTAAGAAATGCTGAGCGAGTTCGGCCCTTTTGATTTTCCCACTCTAGCTCCTCGCATGTTTCATTGTAATATCTTGCTTTGTCATTCCGAGCTGCCTTTTGGAATCTTCTGTTCAACCTGTATGCTGAGCAAATAATCCAAGAAAGTGGACTATACCTACAACCAATAGAGGATAAAATAGATGAATGGGACTTTGTAAGAATAAAATCGCTATGTACATCCAAAACCTTCTCCAACAGGGTCAAAAGGGAAGCTACAGACTAGGGAAAAATATTTGGTAATGACATGTCTGATAAGGGGCTTTATTTAGAATTTATAAAACATTCGAGCACCATAACAAGATAAAAACCCAATTGAAAAAGACATTCAGATGGCGAACAAATACACGAAGAAGTGTTCAAAATCCCTAGCTCAAGGAGAGATGCAAATCAAAACAACTATGAGATATCATCTCATCCCAGAAAAAATTGTAAAATTTAACAGAATAGCAAATATCAAATGTTGGTGAGGTTGTGGAGAAACCAGAACTCTTATTCACTGTTGGTGGGAGTGTAGAATGGTGCAACCACTATTAAAAGCTGTATGGCACTTTCTCAAAAGGTTGCAGATAGAGATACCATTTGACCCAGCAATTCCACTACTGGGAATATATATACCCTAAAGAAACCCAAACTGCCACTCAAGCATATATATGCTCACTCATGTTTATTGTAGTTTTGTTCACAATAGCAAAGAATTGGAAACAACCCAAGTGCCCATCAATCAATGAATGGAGAAGGTGTGGTATATTCACATAATGGAATATTAAGCTGCCTTGAAAAACAAGGAACACATGAACTACATAAATACTGCATGGTGCCACTGTTGTAAAGCGGGACTGACATTGGGGTTGGGGGAAACTAAGAGGGGATAAATAACATATACTGCATTGAAACAGATGAGGGAAAGAACTGTTTAGGACGAATATATGATTAGGAATTATTGTCATGACTAGAGTTCAGAATGAAAGCTGCATAGTGAAGTGGACTGGGTCAGAGGGGGTAAGGAGGGACAGGGTGAGGGGGGATTGTATAACAATGAAAGAATTGCAGGGAGTAAAGTGTGCAAGAATAAATGAATGGAAATCCAAAGTTTCTGTAAACCTTCATTAAAATAAATAAAAAAGATTATATAAAACGAAACAAAAAATACATAAAAGAAGAAAGATGGGCAAAAAAAAAAGTGGACTATATAGTAGCAGGATTACAGGGAGACTCAGTAACACTGTATCCAGATGATACAAAGTGGTATGCAGAAAATGAGGAACACCTGAAACACTTGCTTAAGAATGGAAACAAACACTGCTGAAGCTTAAAGCGCAAAGCCTTCAGTATGGGTTATACCGCAACAAAAAGAAAACAAAATTTCTTACAATTTCGCTAAGGGAGTGCAGGTAGTGTAGCCTGTAGGGATCTGCCTTCCTAATGCAAAGGTGCCTTTCAAACACAATCCACCAGCAGATCAGAAGGAGAAAGATGGGCCATATCCTCCTATGCTATTTATAGCCTCTGAAAACCTGCTGGAAGGCTGGCTATGAGCCCGTCCCAACTCAATGGCAAAGGCAATGAGGGGTTGTTTGTTTGTTTGTTTGTTTTTTAATGCTGGCAGGCAATACAATGATGAATGGAAAATAAAAATTGTCATTGTCAAGGATTTTGTTTCATGTGGACCCAAAAACCAATGGTCATGGAAGCTGTAGTCAAGAAATTAAATAATGTATTTTGTTGAGCTACAATTAACCTCTTTTAAAATGTTTAAGAGGAAGAATGTCACTTTATTCTTTTGGCAGTCTATATTCATGAACTCTTCTCCAAAACCACAACTGAAAAGCATCAAATCTTCTTCTGTCATCCTTATTTACTGTCTAACTTTCAGATGTATAGATACCATAGCTTGAATCAGGTTCACCTGAGTTTTTAAACTGATACCTTAACAGAGTGTGGAAATTATCGAACAACATCATTGATATCACATGCAAGCAAGATTTTGCTGAAAATTATCCAAAAATGTTTGGAACAATATGTCAACAGA